AAATATATTATCAAAATAAAATAAATATTACCTGGAATAAAATATAATATAAAACTTTCTTTTTTTAAATTTTAACTAGTTCCCAAGCAAAGTTTCTCCTTTTATTTTAGTTTAACTGGAATTACTTAAAAAAACAAAACTGAAATATGACATAATGAATTTAATAAACCTATATAAATAATAAAAAATAAAAAAAACTCACAAAAAATGAAAATGGAAAGTCTAAAAATAAAAACTAATTCTAAACATTACTAAAAACTACAATAGTATCTCAGTGATACTAAAATAACACTATATTATTGCATTATATAGCAAAATGTCAAGCCAAAAAAAAAAAAAAACACAGCACCAGCTATTTTTTATTTTTATTTTTTGGCCTTGATATTTGATACTGATACTATTGATATTGACACTTAATGAGGGGCTACCACAGATTTTGGGGACCCTGTATAATCTGTTATCAGGGTTGTTATAGTTAACTAAAAAAAAAAAAGTTTCTTAAAATAAAATAAATATTAACTGAAATTTAAAAAAAAATCAGCTAGCTGTCAAGGCAACATTTCTCATTTTAACTGAAATAAATAAAAACTATGTAGAAAAAATACTAAAAGTGACAAAAACAACTAAATCTTCAACCAAAATTAAACTGAAATGAAAAATCTGTGATAGTAAAAGTACACTATATTATTGCATCATATAACAAAATATGAAACCAAGAAAACATGCATTATTATTATTATTATTATAGGTTTATTATTATATTATTTTTTATATTAAAATATTACCTATTTATATATCCCTTATATATTGTATATTTTTGTATATTTGTGTATTTCAGTCAATCCACTTTTTCATTATTTCTGTTTTTATTTCTATGATTTTGGGAGACTTTCTGTTTGGTATTTCACAGAAATGAAACAATTTGTGCTCGTGAGCCTGATCCAGATGAAGCACTGCTGCCATCTGCCGGCGGAGCGGAGCAGTGCATGGTAGCGCGCATCACCATGGCAACCCGCGGGAAGCCAATTGCGTGCAATCTATGAGCCTATATACTGTATAGACGGTGCGTTCCAAACGGGATATATCGCCCTCCGAAGGTCACTTCGGAGTGAAAACAATCATGGCCGCCATATTGAAGGGTCGTTCCAGACCGAAGTGCTCAAAACTGGCCACTTCAAAGGGCCCTTTGGAATGAAGGATTTCGAAGGGTACAATTTATGGATACTGCGGCCTCCCATGATCCTTTGCGCAGATTCTTTGCATGATGATGACTCAGAAGGGCACTTCAAGAAACAGTTGTTTGGTCCCCTACACCCTTCAACCCTTCGAAGCTCTCACTCCGGAGGGTAAACCCTTTGAAGGGATTAGGGCATAGTGATGAGCCCTTCCGAATGGAACGCAGGGACAATCAGCTGCATTGTTAGTCACTACACACCTGTATGGTTTCACCACGCTACGCATATTATATTGTTCAACTCTTAAATGTCAGTCGAATCGACAGTATAGCCTATGCATTACTGACACCTCTGTATATCAACTAGCGCATGAAAATGGGTCCAAAGCTAATAGTTCCATTCTGTTTTTAAATAAATATAGCAAGCAATTCTCTTCAGCTGATGGATGTGATACTGTAAAAGCCATAGGCAATTTTTTTTGTTTGTTTTTTTTTGAGAAAGGACACTATTTTGGTTCATTTTTAATGTTAGCCTATTTATTTCTGTTTCATACATGACATATGCCTACATTAACATGACTTTTTTTGTTTTCTTTTACCTTCGTTGAGCTTTTTGGTTCAAGTTTAAAGTATTATTGACTTATTTACCCTCCTGTGATGGAAATGATTATGTCAGTGCATCTTACTAGTTTAATTCCAGGTTATAAATGTTAATTAATCTGGCATTTCTCAATGGAACATGTTTTCTATTAAATTATTTCTGCTTCCTCCTGCGCACTATTTGCATTTCGCTGATTTTCATTATTTATGAGGCTCTGATCCCACAGAGAGCAAATGAGGGGGTTCATTTGTCAAGAAGCAACCCTCTGACAGCGTGCTAACACTTAGAAAGAATAACTGTTAAAATTAGACTCAAATTAGTCTGTTCATTATTCAGCTGAATGAAGATCGTTGAAAACGTATTATGAGAGTCTTTATGTAAGACAGAGGAGACGGTTCATGTTTTCATTTTATTATTATTTTAATTATGTGGTTGCATGAGTCTAGTGAATGTAAAATCAATGTTGCACATGTGAATATCATCTGTTATTATTTGTCAACATGTTGCATGTGTACAAATCAGTGTTACTGTGAAGAGACGATGTGAACAGTAGATGGCAGTGTGTAAATATGAACAGATCTCAGCACAGTTCACAGTTTTGCTGCAGAATTTCAACTAACAGATCAATTTAAGTGCATCTATTCAAGTTTTAGCACTCTACAAGATATATAGACATAATCTGTTGTATTACAGTTTTTTATTGTTATTCCTAATTGTTCACCCCCCCCCCCCT